TGTTGTCCATTGACACAAAATCCTGGTGTTGTTGTTGCCCATTGACATAAAGTCCTGGTGTTGTTGTTGTTGTTGTTGCCCATTGTGACAATTTTTTTGCAAGTTGCTGTCCATTGACACAAGACCTTGTTTTGTTGCTGTCCTGTGAGACAAAATATCCCAGTACTATTGTTTTCCAGATGCACAGTTTTTGTGGATGTTGCTGTGAGTTAGCAACGCCGCTGTTATATACTTCAAGAAATCCAACTCTTGTTGTCCAGTAATTATATGACCGCTTTTTTTGTTGCTGTCCTCACCTTTTGACATTTTGTCAGGCAGGCTGGCAGGCAGGTTACAGTGGTTTTCTGACCTTCAGCTGCCAGGACACAATGCCCGGCGGTCTGGTCAGGGCCCCGCTTACTACTTTCAGACTACTTCTCCTGTCTCAACGGAGCCACCTGGAGCCCAGGTCCTTCAAGCGCTTGATGTCCGTCATTGAGGGCAAAACAGTCAGTTCATTCTTGCTGTTTTTGACCCAGTTCCAGAAGCATTTTTTGCACAAGAGCTTTCCTACTGTCCCTGTGCAGTAGGGTGGTGGCTCGAGCGCCGCTGGCACTTTTGGGCTGGATGGCGCCCAAAAAGCGGGTGAGTGGGGGTTCAGAGCCTGAGAAAAAGAAAATCAAAGCAATCAAAGGAGGCTCTTCTGACAGCACGTTTGATGGAGATGATACAGCAGTCACCATTTTTCGTGAGTGGTTGAGCCTGGGAAACAATCAATGCGTATAATGCCACACACTTTCAACCTTGCTTCGAGCATTCTCCAAGTGTTCGAATTTTTCACATCTTTTTGGGTGATCAAGGAACGGAATTGTGGAGGAGCACAGTTCGGTCCACGCGTATTTGGACAAGCTCTTCGAGACCAGGGCCGGGGTGAGACAGAGCGTTCAACGATCAGTCGTTCTAGTTTTGGTTGCTTGTTCATTTGCAGGAACCGTTGATCGAGTTCCTGACATGGGCCAACCTGGAGTATCCGCCTGAAGATGGGAAGCGGGTCCTGCCTGGTTTACTTAAAACGTGAGTTCAATATTCTTTCCATGGACCTTTGGCCAGGGAGTATGTCAAGCTCAATGACATGAATGCAACGGGAGGGGTGCTTTTGCGCCCCTTCCACTTGACCTATGCACCGAATTGCGGCCTTAAAGGGTTGGTGGAACCAGTGCTGCCCTCAAGCATTGGATATGACTTTAAAGCAACATAGGTGATTTCAATTTCTCCAGCAAATATGTTTTAAGGATGTTCTGGCAATGCTCTGTGAAATGATTGTTGGCCGAGGGTTTCTGGCTTAGCTTGTTTGTTTTGGACGGTTTAGGTTTCCAAAGAGCTTCACCCAAACACTCCTGTCCTGAGGTTCTTGTCCAACCCAGATACACCTGGGACGGAAAAACTCGCTATTTCTCAGCTGCGCCCTGATGGAAACATCAAAGCGCCTCACAATGTCACATGTAGTGACATAGGTTGTTCGGACGTGATCGTGCCACCGTTGCAAGTGATGTTTGTGAAGGGTTGGTCAAGATCTGTTGCTGCGCTGACAGTGATGGTTTGCTCATGGAAGTGCGAGAAGTTCCACAAGGCGGGGACCCACATCAGTTCCAGCGTGCGTGTATCGCTGACAGACTTCAGTGAACGCACGGATGCCAGGTATTTCCATCAGTGTTGAAAGAGAGCCTGTGCTGAAACGATAGTCATATTTTGTTCCAATAAATTTGTGAAATTCATGATTGCTCTTGGAAGTCCATATACAAGTAAGGAGTCTTCGAACTTTGTATGAAACTGTGTGCGCAGTGCCCGGGCTATCAGGGCATACCTCCTTGATTTTGAAGAACCGAGGCTTGTGCGCAAAATCAATGAAATCAACACTAAAAAGCAAATCCCACATGTAGATCTTCAGCCCTACAGGAGCATCATTGGCGTCGCAAGTCAGACGCCGGCCTAATGCGTTCAATTTGACACATCAGATGCGGCTGATGAGACAGCTCGGCCAGACAACTTGCCTTCAGGTTCCCATCGTTTGTGTTCACCTTGTTGCTTTTGAGGTGCAAGATCCCTACGCGCAGGAGTGGAACAACACGCAAGGTGTGATGGCAGCCATGCAAGTAGGTCGGTTGGAAGCCTCCGCTGCATTGAACTTGCTTCAGAACATCCCAGAGGAGATTGTGGAGCGACTGACAACTATGGTAAAGTGTCTTGCCAAATCCTTCTTGCTTTTTGCCTTTGAAAATGAGGAAAGGAACTGCGTTCTTGAGCTGCAGGTCCTTCACGATGATCAAGTTTATCAATCACGACTGTTTGGCGCATGGATGGTTTAACAGGGACGAGCAGCTTGCCAATTCCTCACAAGCGGCGTGGCATGATATCTTGGTGAACTCCACCGATTCGCTCACGCTTTTGTGCGAGCGGTTGTCTGCAGACTTTCTCTCTATCAACCAAAAGCTTCGCAAACCCTGGTCAAGTGCCACGGTGGACACTAGGATGCACACGAAGGTCTTTTTGCGAAAGTTACCCATATTGTCGGCAAATTAAATGCAGATGTTCTTGCTGTCAGGAACCGTTGAGCAGGGTTTGCGCGCTCTTTGCAGCGAGCCGTCGGTTGTTTGTGGCCAAGTTCCCGAGTGACTTTGTTTCGGCGGAGATAGGGAAGATAGACAAAGCGCTACTCAGCACGCAAAACAAGTAAACATATATTACATATTGAAAATAAACAATATTCCCAGATTGGAAACACGCACCATTTACCAAGGTTTCAGTTGAAGCATGCAGACTGTGATCTCATGGCAATGATGAGCGACTCTGTCCCCCCAATCGACCTGGAGAGAGTGGGTGTGTTTCGCAGCGCGGTGAAGAAATTCGAGCGCAAGGCCTTCCCTTGGCCGCTGTAGCCACATAGTGATTTGCACTGACTTGTGCCAGGTAGACGATGAGAAGGCGCACGCCCAGGAGTTGTTTGGGGGCCAAGTCAACAAACACGTGAACAGTTCAATGCTTTGTTTTTTGAGGGAGGTGTTGACTTTGCCCGAGGGCTGCTGCGCAGCTGGCCAAAGCCACATTCGAGCAAACAAAGTGCAAGGTGGAGTCTTGTCGCGCTATCGCAGAGACAAGATTGAGAATAGATGTGTTTCGTAAGCTGTCAGGCTGACATCTCACTTTTGACTGTGTACGCCCAGAAGGTTCAAGCAGAAGGGGACAGACAGGCAGATGAGAAGGGCCAACCAAAGTCATGAAAAGAAAGTTTGTTTTCATTTGACACAGCTTCAACCTTGGTTCCGCTTCTCAGGGAGCGCTGGACATCCAGTATTTATCGCGACGGTTCAACAAAGGCCAACAGGAGGTTCGGGAGTTCATGGAGAAGAGGCAAAAGTATGTCGTAGTAGAGAACTTTCCAGACACCCACGCAATGATTTTGGATTGGGTATCCCAAACATCAACCAACACCCCGTCACTTTGACTGCATTTGACATACGCTTGTAAGGCTTGGCAACGCTGATCGATGAATGTGATGTATCAAAGGTGACACTCACGTCTGAATCTTGCAAGGTACACCATCATGGTGGTTGACCTCTCACTTTGGCCAACTAGTGGCAGTCCCAGAAACGGTTTATGAAACTATTGTCCCAGTCATTCATTGTTTGTTATTGTAAGGAGCTATGGCGATCAATGAAGCTTGTGAAGTTGCCAAATGCATTTGCAACGGCAACGTGAACTCGCTGCTTTTGGAGCTGCATCCCATCCAACATGCAGCGACTGACAGACCTTTTGTTCTCCGAAACCGCCGGCAAGTTGAGGACTTGCTAGGGGGATCGTGCTTCGCTTCAATAGGTTTGTGCGATGAGATTGATTCTAGCCGTTACTAGCCTAGCCCAAAACAGCGGGATTCGTGCCTGTTCCCAAGTCAGGTCCTGCGAGGCAGTGGACGTCACTGTGAACTTTCGTGACAGCCAGCATGGTGGAGACAAGCGCAAAAAATGCCAACAAGGATGCCCAATTGCTGTTTTCATGTCTTGCGCATTTTCCAGTACTCATTCAGCTCATGGACTCATTGATGAACATTGTGCGCTCATTCCAGGACTCATTGTCACCTCGAGCTTGCACAAACACACCGCAGGGTTCACGAAATCCAAAGCGATGCTTGGGGCAATCGGACCGTGCACGAGGGCACGTGTGGCCGATTTATGGCGAGATGACGCAGACACGCCCCCCCAATCCTCAACAGAGGGTTACTTGCATCAATTATTTTTTCGCGTTGCTGTTGAACCCACAGGGTGGCCCTCCAGTCCTGTGCAAGGCTGCGCAGCGCGGCATTGTCGCTACACGTGAGATCCTTATGGACCTACTGGATGGCCTGGACCTACCTCACGGCACCCCAATCTTTGTGATTGACCTTGTGGTTGACAGGTGCGTGAAGTCATTCAGACACTTCTTCTACCTGACAGTTTGAGTTGATGCCAACTTTTCTTTCCACAGGTACAATGAGTGGGGCCGTGCAGTCTGGGAGCTTCAATCTAAGACCTTGTCTGGAGAGAGCGGTTATGAGTGGCATTTTGCAGCTTTTCGAGCGGAAGAGGATGGAAGCCTCGAATCCACCTCCAGTTGGATGCACGGCAAGATCTACGACGTGCCAACCTCAGCGGTCCTGAAATTGCTACGAATCACTACCTTGATTGTTGAGGAATGGTGGGACAAGTCGGACGCAGCAGGACCCAAAACGAGATCTAGGCCAACCGAGCAGGAGCCATTGCCCACTCTCCAAGTGGTATGCGTTGAGAATGGGTCCTGCACGTTCCTAGACATGCATTGAGGGAGTAACATGTTTGGTTTTACATGGCAGCTAACACTGTGCCTTGGTCACAAGTTGCCTGCTGCAGTCTTGGATTCCCTGGGTTCTGCTGGAGAGGAGCTGAAAAACAAGATACGTACTTTCTCTGAGAAATATAACATGAAGGCTTTGGATTCAGCGCGGACAGGGCACGCATCGTCTCCTACTGCCTCAGGATCCTCAGTACCCGTTGCGCCAAGGACATTGGCGCGACCAGCTTTCACCCCAGGCGATTCTCCCAAAGATGTCACCCGGACACTCAGTGGGACTACATGCTCAAAAGAGGAATTGGACGCCAAAGAGTTTCTAGCCATTCGAATCCTGACACTGCTGTTTCAAATCGGTGTTCTTCCAGCTTTCATGTTCATGACTCATGAGAAGCCTTTGAGGTTGTGGGCACAAGCCACGGCCATCGGACAGAACCATATAAAGGTTGTCATTTGCAAAGACTTCAGCATGTATTTGCTGAATGTCTCTATGTCTCTGATTCGGAGACGGTTCACATGACCAATGGAGAGCTCTTTGGTTTTGGCCCTGGCAGCTTCACAGAAATGACGCCAGGTGCTTTCTGTGGCTGGAAAGTTGTTTGAGAGAAAGTTGGCCATGGTTCACAACCTTTTTAGGAACCATGTTTACAAGCGTGCGCGGAGCTTTATGCTGGAGTGTGCAGTGTGAAACAAAAACCATGTGGTCAACGGTTGCTTGCTTCAAGTCAAAACCAGTTACACCCCCTGGCAGGTGTTGCTCGCAACAGCAGAGATAGTTCCATCCCGTGGTTGATTGAGAACGACAAGCAACTGTTCATCATGGTCGAGGGGACCGGCGAGAAACGATCCATGCGCATGTCTCAGGTGGCACGCAACTCCTGCCAAAGCCGTGGAATCACCGAGTTGACAGTCATGGACCACAATCTGGTACCGCGCATGAAGGACACCACAAACGTTTGAAACCAAATCATGTTCATATTTTTTATTCCATGGATTGCTCCAGGATGATTCTTCCCCGATGCCATTTCGCTATGAGATCAGCCCAATGACCAGGGTGAATTGCTTTGAGCCCAAGCCTCCTCCCGCCCCGACGAGTGCCAACTACATGGATTTGCGCCCGACCATCCTTGGAAGTGTGTACAAAAGGAACTTCAGATCCCTGCCAACTGACATGGCAGAGTTGACATGGGAG